ATTATCTAGATAGCTATTAGAATAATTATATATATATATATATATATATATATTAGTGATAATAGATGGACTTTATTGCTTTAAAAGTATGATTTTGAGGTTGTACATTGGACATATATTATCAATTCAAATGCAAACGGATTTTCTTATAATCCAAATAGTTTAAAAGAGGACTTAATTGATGATCAATAGTATAGAAATTGCAATAGAGAGACAATTTGTGAATGGCATGCAATTACATACTTGACTTTGATATAAGGTGCTACAATTATGGTGCATGTTTGAAGCTCATATGAAGAATTTAGTAGAACATAAGTGATTAACAATGTGTGGTATGACCTTACAATCTTGTACAAGCTTCAAAAAGAGACATTTATTTTAGCTATTTCTATTATAAAAAAAGATAGGATCAATCACCAAATAATAAGATTATATAAAAAAATAATTTGTTATTTTTTATCTAATAAAAATTACCGCTATCATATTTCATGAAATTTGCTTAAAAATGGATTAGGTATTTGGCTATAGAAAATAAAATAGAAATTACGAAAAGAAGATTCTAATAATTCTAATAGAATCTTAAATAAATTTTAATTAAATTATAACAATGATAATCAATCTTTAATCAAATTTCAAAAGATTCTAAAAGAACTCACAAAAGAAATATAAAAAAATCATAAATTAACCTTAAAATTATATATAAAATAAAAAAATCATAAAAAAAATCATAAAAATAGAAATCTTAATTTAATCCTAATAAAATTCTAATGTAACCATCAAAAAATCTTATAAAAATCTAAACCAATCTTAATCAAACCTTAATGTAATTCTTAACAAATCCTAATGAAACCTTAAATTAATCCTAGCCATATCATAATGAAATCCTAATAAAATTTTAAAATCTACTCTAATCAAATCCTAAATAAATTCTAAATCCTAATCAAATCTTAAACCAAATTTTAATCAAATCGTAATTTAATCTTAATTAAATCCTAATTAAATCCTAAACCAATCCTAATCAAATATTAAATCTAAGACCAAATCTTAATAAAACTCTAACCAAATTTTAATAAAATCCTAGATCCTAATAAAATACTAATAAAATATTAATAAAATTTTAAATTTTAACCAAATCCAAAATGAATTCTAAAAAACCTCAAAAAAATCTTAATATTAATATTTCAATAGCGATTTCTTCTTGTTGAATTATTTAATTTCTTGAAAAAATTGCTATTGTGTAGAATTCTAAATTCGACTAATTATCAATAATTTTTACTTCAATCAAACCGACAGATGTTGTAAGATTGCAAAAATCTTCACTAATCCTAAATTTCAATTATTTGATACCATCACTTATAAAAACTCTCATAACTGTTAAATTTATTGTTAAATTAACATGATTTTTTTTAAAAAAAATTAAGATAAATATAATGACAAACTATCAAAATTTAACTTATAAATATACTATAACACTCATAAAATCTTCAAATTTATGAATTTAATTTGATTTCTCAAAATCCAAACCCATTGAATATATCTTTTACTTTGAAAAGCCCTTAAAACCTCAATATGCCTTCAAATCACATAGAATCAACTCTCAAAAATCCTCTCATAGTCTATTTTCAAATCTTACTATTTGATCAATAAAAAATGCCTCAAAGTTGTTGTAGGTGCACAGTTTTGTGCCTTGGGGTCTGATTTCAATCTTCATTTACAGCTTGTCCTCTTTGGGTATCAATTCTTAGTATTTTGAGATAATTTTTTCTAAAACCTATTTTTAACTCTCTCTTAAAAATATCTATATTGATTATTTATCTTATTTATTTTTTTTGTCTCATTTATGCTCTTATAAAGTAAGCAAAAGTTTCTTCTAAAAGAAGGCACCATTAGCATTTATTAATTTTTACTACCTTCTTATCTATTACCTATATTTTTAAGATAATTTATTAAAATATTTTTATTTAAGCTTCTCTATAATATTTTTTTTCTACTTTCATCGAATGGCTATGCTACTATACAATAACACATTCATATATATTGAACCTATCTGAAATATACAAATAGATCAATGTTAGTGGTTTTTGGTTTAAGTTCATATACTTATTTTTTTGTTAATAAAAGTCTAATCATAAGATTAATAATTAAGATAATTAGAAGATAAAGATAAGAATAAGGGAGACCATATGTAGTATATTCTTATCTTAGAGTTCTTTTGGTGATATCTTTGAAGATGAAGATAAGAATAGGGTAGACTACAAGTGGTAGATTCTCATCTTAGAGTCCTCTCGGTAATATTTTTGAGGTTAAAGATAAAAATAAGATAGATTATATGTGGTGGATTTTCATCTTAGAGACATCTTAGTGATATTTTGAGAGATAAAGGTAACTTAAGAGAAAGAGAAGTAACACAAAGTGAAGGATTTTTTTATTGTTATAGTATCTTTGGATTTGATGAATAAAGAAAGTAGATTTTTTATCTTAAGAAAAAATCTATTGTAATTGTTTGAGATCTTTGATTTAAAAAATATTCTATAAAATTATTTAAGATAAGTGTATCTATTTTTTGCAAAGTTTTAGGACAAAAAATTCACCAAATTAAGAAGAAAAAAAGTATTAAAACAAAGGAGGTCCAATAAAATTACAAGTTAAGGGCAATAATTTTGAAGGTTCATAACTTGATTTTTACAAGAGTAATAGTTATAAAACTTGAAGCATATTTGTTCTTTTAAGTCAAAAATCTATTTACCAAATTTCAAGTAATTATAAAATTTTATTTAAGAGATATACACAAAAGAGTAATTAAGGATAAGATTATTAAGAATAGGATTGTGAAGAATAAAAAAAATTGTGAAAAATCTAAATGTGAAAATATAAGTAAAAAAATCCTAAAATTTTACTAAATGGTTAAATTACCATAGCCAAGCAAATCCTCACAACATAAGTATTTTTTCTTTAAAATCACTTAAAAGACTTAATTTGATAAGAATGTTAAGTTGAAGAGATTTTTCTACCTAAGTCTTCAAATTCTAGTTGATACTAATAAAGTCAACTAATAAAAAAAAAATAGATAAAAATGCACTAAATTGATCTAAATTACATATATCCAATGGAATTTGACATTTGATGCCACATTATGTGACATTACACAAGATCTTGACTATTACATCTCCGTATCATTGTATTTATTTTTTTTCAAAATTACTCCCATATTATGGAGTTTCTATAAACAAGCATCAATAATAAGATCATTATATAAATCCAAGTATTATACACTTAAAAATTGTACATGTGAAGTAATATAGCTGCAAAGATTATCAAAAGAATTTTAGATCTTAACTATAGGACCAACTATCTTACTGTATAACAACCAAAGCAAAATTAAAATTTCATACAATCTTATGTTTCATGACAAGACAAAATATTTTTGAAACTCAATGGCACTTTATTAATAAAAAATAGATTTAGTTAAAATCAACATGATATATATATAAATACTCATAAACAACCTACAAATATGCTAGTTAAAGCACTTGAACATACCAAGTTCAAACTTGGAAAAAAAAACTTAGTATACAAAGTCTAGATGAGTACTAATTACTTATAAAGAATCTTTCTACATCTTCCTTGGTTATAAAAGCCTTGAAATCAATGTCTCCAAATCCTATTATTTCTTGTTTATAATTCCACGAAAAAAGATAAATTCTAGCCATGCTATGATATATAAAACTTTATAAAATGGAATCCATCTACCGTAGTGTCAACCAACATAAGATCACAAATACTACAATAGACATCTTGTCTCTCACCAACTTTTAGCATTTCTAACATTGCTTATTCAATTTTTGAAGGAGCTTGTTTTTCCTCAATACCTTGGTTTGCTCTAAGTTTGGAGATTAAATGATCATCAACTCTACATAACAATCAATTAAAGACATTTTTGAAGAATACCAAAAAAGTCCAAAGAACTAAAAGTAATATGTAACAAAGAGTCTCTTCTCTTAGCTATTGCAACATGTCTATGGATTTTTGAAGACACACAAGACGACCAAGCTTTGACCAAGAAGAGGTGTTGAAAATACTATTCACGCCCTATTCTTCTCATTCATGTTAATATAATCTATTATATTTATTCTTTAGCATTTTTTTTTATGAATATTTAGCTTGAGGCTCTATGCTTTTGTTAAGTATGTTGCTATGCTATTCATAGTGGTATTGCGTAAGTTAGTTCAATAGAACTTTCAGTACTATGTGGTGACAAGATACCAGAAAAGAACTTAGAGGTGGACAAATTGTTGAGGTAAAGATGCAAGTCCTTCCATTAAACTTCTTCTCTTTTGCTTCAAAATACAATAAGTAATACATTCATAAAGAACGGCAAATGCTCTAGTAGTATGTGACTAACTAGAAGCAAAGTGAATCAACCAATTGAGGAAGTACATGATGTTTTATTATTTTGGTCTAAACTAATTAAAAACACATTGTTTTGAGTGTATAGAATGTTACTCAACTCAACCCTCTAACTTACACTTTGTCATGCTAAATATGTTCAACCAATTGCTTGTTATGAGCATATGTAAGCACAATGGGAACTTAGTGCTTGAGATAGCCTTTAAAGTACTTTGAAGATAAAATTAAAAACAAAAAAACAAACAGACCTTTCATTGAAGATATCTAAAGAATTAGCAAATGTACATTACATATATACATACATGCATTGGATATGATAAATAAAAAATTCTTAATTGATTATATAAATATTAATAATATTTATAGGCAGGCAAGCAAGGAGGAAGAGGGGGGGTGTGTGGGGATATGCTTGGAGTGCTCATCACGCCTTCTAAGTACTACATCCCAGGCCAGGCCCAGGTGGCTGTGTATGCTTGTGCATGATGATGATGATGATGATTGATGTTCATTCTCTCATGCTGCAGCACCAGCACCACCAAGAAGGACTATCTATGGCTTTATCATCATTCTTCTACTCTATTCTATTCTATTCATTCATTCCCACACACACACACACACAGATTACTCCCCCTCCCTCCCTCATGGCCATTCCCGTTCCCACTCAACTCTAGCAGCCCATACCCCCCCCCTCCTCCTCCTTTGCCCTGCTGCTGCTGTACTGTTGTTGGCTCCCCACCTCTGCCATTCACACAGACTCAAACTCATACAGACAGACAGAGAGACATTTCACTACACTACTACACTATCATGGCCTCTTTTGCCTGCACCATACCCTCACGGTGTGTGTAGTAGTAGAATCCCCTTCCCCTCTCCCGATCGAGAAATCATCATCCCACACGCATTGCCTAAGCCGTTTCCCCAGTTTCAGTGCCTTCCTTCCTTCCATTCTATGCTTCTTCCTTGACAACCATGGCCATCTTTCTGTTTCCTACAATTTTGAGGTTGCTGTTGCTCGCAACCTCCTCTGTTGTTTCTTTGGCACTGTCGGTGCAGCCAGGTTTGCCAATTCAGACTCCGACTTGTTTTAGGTGTTTCTGCAGAATGTGTTGGAAAGATTAGGCTGTGGAGTGCGTAGTCATTTGTGGATGTTGTCGTTTCATGAAGAGGCGAGACAAGCAGTTGTAAGCAGCCTTAGGATGTGGTGCTGAGCTCGCGACACACCTAATTGAACTATTTGGTGGTAGTGCAGATGCAGCAGCCATGATAAACGCTTTGGAGGTGGATTCAATTGGATATGATGTAACAACAGTGCTTAATGGAAATCTTCGCGGACTTTCATTTTATTGCATTGATGAAGCGACAGACAGAGCCCCCGCGTGGGCAATCGTGCTGGACTCTACGAAGAGCAAGGTACTCAGGGTGCAGTTGCCGTTGTCTCAAGGTAAATTGATGATCGGATCCCAAAAAGACGCTGCTAATTTCTTGAGTAGCCGTATTGACTTGTGGGTTGTCGGGAGATAAGTCATTATCATGCGTGCTAACTATGTGTGGCGAATGTCCAGACTCCGTTGTAGAGCACATTGCTGGCTCTTTAGAAGGCAAGGCGGGTTATCAAGATGGCCGTGGGGGCGACGCTCTCTTTAACCATCCCAAGATGCTTACACTTGATAGCGATGGAAACATTTATGTTGCTGATGTTAGAAATACAGCTATTCGCATGATCACCACGCAAGGCAAACACAGTACTCTATAATCACCACTTCGTTTGATGAATCGCTTTTAATCACTTATACCAAATCAATTGTATTCGACGCCACATATTATTCAATTTATCGTGGATGTTGTTTCGAGGTTCTTGATATCCTAATGTAGTTTTGATGTTGTGCACTTTCAGGCTTCGTAACAACAATTGCAGGGGGCATGAACCGAACCGGTCACAACGATGGTGAGGGCCGTGTAGTGACCTTTTCAAATGATTTCGGCGTGACCTATTTGCGCAAAAATTGTACCTTGTTAATCGTCGATCGAGGAAACCGCATGGTTCGGGCGATGAAGTTGCCGCACTTGGTTGGACGGTGTCATGACTCCCCTTCAGATGTTCCTGGAGGTAAAGTAAAATTGATTCTCAACTCAGCCATATTTTGGTGGCAGTGATGAACAACCTATCATAGGTTGTAACTACAACACCTCGCAATTAAAAGTAGATGTGGCTAATTCGACTCAACGCTTAGTATTTGGGAACAGTGGATTCAATTTATTCAATTACAAGTCAATCTTTCTGCAGGCTTTACAAATGGCAAGACCCTCTTGGTGGCGGTTGGGATATTACTTTACTCTGGGATAATTCTGGGGGCCAGCACTGGGTGGTTGAAGAAACTGCAATCTAAGCTCCCATGGGTAAACTCTTAAACAGTAGTTTACTTTGTGCATGAGCCTGAGTTTGCATTCTGTTAACAAACTTGTTTGTGCTTTTTACGTGCAGTCAGATACTCAGCGATCAAGGACTCAGCCGGCCATCACGCCCATTGAATCTCACGACATTGAAGGCCAAACCCCCTTCCTGATCCCTGCAGATGACGAGCCTGTTCTTCGCAATTCGGCAGAGATTTTTCATCGTGAAGAATTTGCAAATCACCCTCAAGATGATTCCCACTCTGAAAATCTCATTGATTTTACAGATAACATTTCAAGGAAAGCACCGAGTCAGCACGACCAAAACTCGGATTCTGAAGGTGAGAGTGAGACTACCACCGAGTTCACACCCGAAGTTCATGTTGTGACCCGTGAAGAGAGATTAGACAGCATGATGCAGCAGTGCTTGGTTTGCCTGACCACACCTTCAGCTAAAACACAGTAGTTGAGCTCATCGTTTATTCACTTGCTTGTACACAACCGGAGCTCCACTACAGAGTTGAGTTGAAGGTGTCGGTAGTCTAGCCTCACACTGTCTGGAGCAAAGGCTGTCGGTAAGCCACTCGTCCAAATTGGGGACTTTTATTTTAGTAAACCCGGACAATCAAATGCATTGCAATGAGGCAAATTTCAGGTTTTGTACATAACGGATAGATATTTATCAAAGCACTCAAGAACCTATGTTATTTGTTTTGATTTGTTTTTTGTTTTGTTTCATTTCGGTAAAGATTCCATCAAACATGTTCTATTAAGTCTGTAGTTGTCTTTTGATTATCAGTTATTTGTATACACAAGCATTAGGAATTCAACTACTCTTTATTTACTAACTTTTCTTTATACCAGTTTTTTTTCTCACATGTGTTGTCAAGTCTTTTAATTAGGCATCATCATCATCATTATCAATATAATATCTGTTTGAAAAAATAAATTAAAGAATTCAAACATTGATATTTAATTGAACTTTCTTCACAAAAAGTTTGTTTAATGAAGATTTGGTTTGGCAACAATGGTGTAGTGATGAAAGATTTTAGGGGTTGTAAAGATCATATGAGCAAACAGTTAAAAACATGAATTGGTTTTTAGTTCATTGATGTATGTAGTATTTGTATTATGAATATTAAAAAAATACATAAAAATGAATTAAAATAGTTGTACATTTACAGTCTAAACTAATAGCATAACCATTAACTTTTGCTAATAAGTCATATATCTGGAGACATATTTTTCATAGATACAGATTTATTACTTTGACATAGAAATTCAAAAAAATAAACTACAATAGGATTAAAAACCGAATGTTTTAAAATTATTTTTGATCTTCAAGTGTATATTAAATTAAAATTTTAAGACTAAAATTGAATAAATAAATCTTCTATCTTATTGTTTTTTGTTGTATATATATAATTAAAACAAAAAAAATTGGTTTGAATAATTTAAAATAAGAATTTGTATCATGGAATTTATTTTAGTATTAATAAATGATGATAATGAATTATTTTCATTATTTTCTTTTTTGATAAAAAAATTTGATTCAAAAGACATAAAACAAACAGATTTGGCACAGTTTAATATCAACAAATGTGCATTTGAAATACTTCAAACTTATTTTGGATTTTAGTAAGTAATTAAATTAATTTTAAGATGAATGTTTTTTTAATTTAATATATTTATTTATTTTATTTAATATTGTATAAAAGAAGATAGTAATAGAAACTATCTTGAAAACAATTTAAGTCTATATAATTAAAAAATAATATTTCTAATTTCATAGCTTAAAAAACATGCTTATGCATATAACATGGTACTATTTTGGAAATTATATTTTAAAAAAAATTGAAAATAATGTACATGTATTTATGGAGTTCTGTTCCTATTTATTTAAAAATTAATACTAAAATTATTTCTTAACAAACAATTGTATTACAATATTATAATGGATATATATTTAAATATTCATTATAAATAATATTTATAAAAGAGGATAAATATTTAAATAATTTTTAAAAATACATCATAAATCAAATACTCACACATTATACATGATAGCAAATTAAAGGGGCAAACATTCTAATCAGGCCATTTCAAAAATGACAAAGAATAAAACTTATGTAGCAAACATTACACTTGATGCAATAATAAGTCGAATTATAATTTATAATCAACATTTAATAAAATTTATTTAATTTTTTATGTCTTCAGTAATAAAAATAAATAAAATAAATGTATAATAATCAAAAGCTACATCTTTTGTTTGTAGCAGGTATTTAAATGAATTAAATTTATGAAAGTGCTGAATGTTAAAATAATAATCATTATCATAGTCATAATTAATTAATCAAATGTATAATTTAGTACTTGAATGTTAATTAAAACAAGATTTATTTCATCAATGATACTATATTTATAGATATTTTAATAGGCGAAACACATGAAAAAATATAAGCTTATGTTTTTGGAAACCAAACAGATCGCAAAGAATTGATATAACACCTATCTTTATTTATTTACTCTCCCACAAGAATATGTATTTAAAATCCTATATATATATGTTTGATATAACAAATTAGCAAATATTAAAAAAACTGTAGCTTACAACAGCTCAAGTTTGAAGAATCTACCATGAAATGGAGGAATTCTTCGGCAGGAACGGATTTGGAGCAGAAAAAATAATCAAAACTTTTCCGCAACCCTCCAATGCGCCACTGTTTCATAAAGTTCTCCACGCAGGACTAGTTGCCTTCTCATGCACGGAAATCCTGATCATTTTGCACTTTAGGGGATTTGGATACCATTGTTGCATGGGGAAGATTCGAATGTGGAATCTGGAAAAACAAAACAAGCAAAAAAAAACACGAAGAAGAAGAAGAAGTCCACATATTACTTTGCATCTTAGTAGCATCTAGCTTTGAAGTAACTGCAGGCACTTGAACTGTTTGGAACACTCTGTATTATATTCACCTCTCCAAAAAATCGTGAAGACACGTTGACAGAGCTAGACCTGAATTTGACCGTGTGATTCAAAACAAAGTAGTGAAGAAGGCACCCCAGACAACAGTTACCAAACAGTTCAGAAATGGTTGGTGCCACTAAGTAGAAACCGATTGTAAGATTCATTACTGGAAAACTAGTTGATGTAAATTTTATAAGAAAGAAATTGAACCTCTACTCTGCCAAATGAGGGACTGCATTCCATCCAAGATCCTTTCTTCAATCTTAGTTGCTTCAAGATGTTCAAACTTGACACTCAGGGGAATAAGCAAGCAATAATAAATATCAGCTAGTGAAGATGTTACAAGAATACACTTAAGTAATTTGAGATTTTTCATTAGATAAGGTGATATTTTATACATTGGATTAACTTGACCACAATAACTAATAAAAACAATTTATTTAATTCTACATTCAATAGAGGAGAGGTCTCCACTGTTGTCAATGTGGAGTGAGTGGATGGATAAAGTACAAACTGACACCTTCTCAACACACAACATGGCACAAGTGGAAAGTGATGTGGCTGCAACATGAGAGGCATAGGTGGCACAAAAAAGAAATATTATTGTGATAAGAAGAGTATATGTTGGATATCGCCAACACTTTTCTTCAACTTGCATTCTTCAACCTGATCTTATCTTAATTGATGTTATCTATATTATAGAGGAAAAATAAAAGTGGTCTTGATCATTCTTCAACTGAGGGTATTTTCTCCTTAGTGGTACAATCAATTGAATTATTGTAAAAGATAAGGTTTCAATAGATATAAGCTCTTTAAGTTTTTTACTTTGTATTGATGATACATAGTAAAAATTTATACGTCTTGGTTAAAATATAAGAAGTAGGTTTAAGATTACAAAGGAGCAAAATTCAAGAAGTTTAGGATTAGGAAACAAAGAGAGGAATATCTTTAATTTAGAAGATAAGTAAGGCTAACTAGGATTGAATTTTATTTTTTAATATATCTATATTGATACTATTTTTAATCTATCTGATTATCTATTTTCAATAAATTCAACTAGACCTAAAGCTTTTGTTAAAATGTTAGCTTATTGCAAATATATAGAAGTGTATCTTATCTCAATTGTCCAACTTAATACTTATTTTTGATGTAGTAGTAGTACAATTCTATATGCTTTGTTTGTTGGTGCATGATTGGATTACAAACTAATTTGATATTTCTTATATTGTCACATAATAATAGTATGGAATTCTTATCATCTAGATGGAGTTCTTTGAGTTGTCTACAAAAGTAAGTAATCTTGTAAGCGTCTTCTCATAGGATGCAATACTTGGCTTTTTTCAAAAAAAGTACAATTGTTAATTAGAACTTACTTGACTATGCTATTAGTATTGATCTTAGTTTATAAAGTACATTTAATATAGATTTATAAAAGATAACTTTTTTTACTCAATCTACATCAGCAAAAGTACAAAGCCTTTTCTTGTCACTCAAAGAGTAGAATATCTCATAGTCTATAGTACCTTTGAAGTATCATAATATCTTCTTTGTTATAATCAAGTGAATAAATTGAAGGTTATTTATGTACCTTGATATTCTATCCATTATAAATTGAATATTTCAAAGTTTAATAGTTGCATATAGTACCCTTCAACAAGACTTTGATATAGCTTGTGATTAATTATAAGTATTTTAATTCCTTTAGATATTTGATTCATTTGTATTAAAGAGGGTTTATAGTAGATCAACCAAAACTTGTCTAATAAGGTTTAAATATATCATCTTTGGTGAAAGTGTATTTCTTTAGTGATATACTTCAATTCAATCTCCAAACAAAGTTTTACATCCTTGAAATTTGTTATCTCAAAGGTACTTAATAATTAGTCCTTGAATTTTTGAATGTAGGATGTATCATCTTCTATGATAATAATATTATCTAAATATAGTAATATTATAGTATAGTTTTTTATTTTAAATTTTAAAATATTTTTTTAGATCTTTATTATTTTTTTGGAGATTATGGTCTTATAAATAAGTGTCAATTTGATCATACCATGCTCTATAGGCTTGATACAATCTATGTAGGATTCATTCTATCTTGTAGGCCTTATCTTGAATATCTTTCTTCAAATCTTTGGAACATTATTTTATAAATTTTTTCTACTTTGCACTTGAGAAATATTATCTTTATATATGTGTGTTGTAGTTTTTAATTTTTTCTAGCTACAAATGCAATGATGCCTCTAATTATTCACCATTTGATTACATATACAAAGATTTTGAAAAAATATATCATATCTAAAAGCTATAATTCTAGCCTTTAATTTCTCAACTTTACTACTAGATCCCAACTTTGTTTTGAAGATCTATTTTGCCAATATTGAAGTCTTATCTTGGGATAAATCAACCAAAATTCAAATAATATTTTTTTTTATCAATTCTACTTTTTTTTTTTATTACTTCTTGTCATCCAATATTATGAATTGCTTCTTTTTAATTCTTAGATTCAAAATCAATTTTTATTGTAAACTTATAGCTATCTTTAAATTTGAAGAATATACTTAAGAATATACTTAAGTATATTCTTCAAAGTAGACTGGATTGAATTGCTTGTTGGTGTTGACAAAAGGTTTCTACTCTCTTCTTTCTCATGAACAATATGTTCAATAATAGAGGTTTAATCATCATTTGTTGATTTGTTATATCACATATGGCTTTTGGTAGTGGATCAATATCTAAAAATAATTATGCTTTATATTTCAAGATAGAATTAGTTTTCACATGATCAAAATATATTTAAGTTTTATCAAACATTATATCTTGGCTAATGAAAATCTTATAATGTATGGGATTATATACTCTATAGGTTTTTATTTGATCATTATAT